AGAGAGAGAGAGAGAGAGAGAGAGAGAGAGAGAGAGAGAGAGAGAGAGAGAGTATTGGTGTCCAGGGACAGGAGCACTGTGTCTGTGGAAACGGGAGATATGTCACCTCCCCTTACAGGGAGAAGCCTAGTGCTTGGCTCATTGTGTACAAGCTTCATGAACAAGAGAGCCTTATGTTTTAGGTTTGGGGGTATTTTTGTTCTCTTTTGTTTCTTTGTTTTTGTTTTTGTTTTTCCAGACAGGGTTTCTTTGTGTAGCCTTGGCTGTCCTGGAACTCTCGCTGTAGATCAGGCTGGCCTCAAACTCAGAGATTCATCTGCTCCTGCCTCCTGAGGGCTAGGATTAAAGGTGTGTGCCACCACTGCCCGGCTGTTTTAGATACTCATTAGTATGATTTCTACAACATCTAGACATCATACAGAAATGTTTCACAGCAACAGGTGAAAAAATATATATATATACACCTAGGGCCAGGCAGTGGTGGTACACGCCTTTAATCTCAGCACTTGGGAGGCAGAGCCAGGAGGATCTCTGTGAGTTCGAGGCCAGCCTGGGCTACAGAGTGAGTTCCAGGATAGGCTCCAAAGCTACACAGAGAAACCCTGTCTCGAAAAACCAAATATATATATATACATATATATATATATATATATATATATATATATATAATAGATAGATAGGTAGATGATAGCTATTATATGAATATTATGAACTCAGTTTTGACAGACTTCCCTGAGACCCGTGAAAGCTTGCTGCATGCCCAACCTTGTGCTGAGGGTCATAAGCACTCTGTCATCAAAATTTCAAATATATTTGAGAAGATAAGTCAGAAAGACATAAAGAGCAACTTTGACCAAAGCAGGGCACACTTGAAGCTTCAGATAGCTACTGCAGATGCAAAGTCACCAGGGAAAGCGGGCATTTAAGGATGGGTAGGATAGGGCTGGAAAGCTGGGTCGGCAGTTAGGAGCACTTGCTGAGGACCCAGCACCCACATAGCAGCTCAGGGCCATCTGTAAGTGCAATCTCAAGGGATCAGACACCCTCTTCTGACCTCATCAGGTGTCAGGCATGCATATGGTGCACATACACATATGCAGACCAAACGTCATACCTATACAATAATAAAAAGCTAATAATAATAGTAATAGTGCCAAAAGAGAAGAAGAAGTAGCATTTGGAAAGCACTTGGGTAAGAGATTCCAGGAGTGGGTGTGTGGAGGGCAAAGGTTGAAAGGCCATGAGTGATCTTGGCTTCCCAGGAAGCTAAGAGCAGAACATACTGGCTGGGAGGATGGGAGGGAGGGAGGGTGTGCACAGGACACCGGACCTTCTTATACTAACCCTGCCCTCCAGAGGAGCGGAGCAGAGCAGGTTCCCTGGTTACTGTTGGCCATGTCCTTCACCATCCAAAACATGATGTACGTGCTGAATGCAAGCTCTGCAAACAGTGATGAGGGACTGTGGGCCAGATGTCCCCTACGGGAGGTGGGAACACAGCGCAAACCCGTCTTACTTCACGCAGGGAAGCTGCACTTTCTATGCCCAGCAGAGTACGGTGGTATAAAATGCTGAGCTCTCCGGGACTGTGTGATTGATTTCCTTGGCAGGGGAGAGCTGAGGAGCTTTGGTTCTCTCTGGAATGAAGACGATGTTTTTCTTCAGCATGGAAGCAGGTGGGCGGGGGGGGGGGGGGGGGGGGGGGGGGGCATACAAAAGTCACAGTTCTAAACTTTTCAGGGGGGGGAGGCAGAGACCGACATTCTCAGAAGCCGGAAAGGATGGTGTCACCCCACTCTGAAGACACCTTGCTCTGTACCCTGTGCTCCCTTGGCGTTCTCATACAATCTCATCCTCTCCATCCAACACTGACTCTCCAGGACCTTGGGGTTTTTCTTATTCATGTTAATACAGTGCCTCAACACTACAAGATTAGAAGCTCCCTAAAGTCAAGGGCTGCTCCTTCCCTTTCAGGTGCCCCTCGAGGTCAGGGTACTTCCATGCACCGATGCACCCGAGGGCTGCATGTTAGTGCCTGCTGAAGGAATCTGGAGGGAGCCAAATCCACAGCAGCCCTTCCCCCCCTCCCCCCATGTGTAGCTGCGTGTGACACCAGTTGAGATAACCAACTCCTTGACAGGAACTCCACAAGAGGCGGCCCTGATAAACTGGCCCAGGCTGTGTGGTGCTGTGTCTGTAATTCTGAGCATACAGCTGATTTGCCCTATCTCATGACAGGGTGCAAGAGAGGAAGCCCAGCCTTGAGCCGGTACCTGTGCTTCACGAAAAGCACGTAGTATTCGCAGAGCATGTTGGGAGGTTAAAAAATCACAGGCGTGTCACGGAAGGGATGAGCTGAGCAAAAATGACTCTTCTTTAACCATGCACCTTTCAAAAGAACATTTCTGCTCCATCCTTTAACTACGAAAGCTGTAAATAGTTAATGAGTGTCCATATATGCAGAGCACAGAGCTGGGGCTGGCAGAGCACACTGCTGAACGCTGAAAGCTCCTCTTTGAAGAATGAGCAGGATCGGACTCCCAAGCCTGGCAATACGCCCAACAAAGAAAGTTTCAACAAACACAAAATGTTTTTAAATGCACAGATTAACTGCCAAGAATGAAAATTACATTCTTAGGTCTCCCCTAAAACATACAGAGGAAACAAAAACACCTAACTAAGACAAAAACATCTGGGGGAAAAAAGTTAATTCCTCGGGGTGCTTGGGGGGAGCAGGAAGAATAATCATTATATAATATGTGAGTGAGAGCAATGCTCCTGAAACCTTAATGTGCTCATAAGGCCTCTGCAGACTCTGTAAGTCTGGAGAGAGAAGGGGACAGGGAACCTATATTTCCAACAATCCTAGGACTCGGCACAGGCCCGGTTTATGGGCTTCGTGTAGGATCATACAGGCAATGCAGGTGGATCTGAGCAAGGCTTGAGCCTGACTGAGATGAGAGTGGGAAACAGGGTCCCCGAGTTAAGCTGTGACCCTCAATGAGCTGTTGGTGCAGCTCAGTAAAAATGAGCTACACGAGTCTGCCCAACCAGACCACACTGAGCCGAGAAAGAGTTCCCAGCCTGGGTTAGACTCAGGGTGAAGAAATAAAATCTCCCAGGTAAAGTAAGAATGCTACGCCTCTATCTTGTACAATCCATGGTTCAGTTTTACCTCTGTGGTCTAGAAACCCTTAATTGGCAATTAGTATTAAAAAATTGGTCTTTTCTGACAATATACTCATGGAGTCCTTGGCAGAAACAGCGGCAACATTGAAGGGATACTTTGGACAATGTGTACACACACAATACACACGTATAAATATACATATGCACACATGCACACACATACACATATATACACACACTCGTGCATATATATAACATGTACATATACACATGCACATACACAATACACACATAAACATACATGCACACATACACATATACACACATGCTTACACACACACACATTTGTGCATACATAACACATACATATGCACACATATACACCCTCACAATCTCAATTAGAGAACAAATTAAACTTACTCATACCTAAGGAGCAATTCACCATTGCCAAGAATGAGCAGACAGAATCTTCAGGGTCAGACTTGAAAGGACGAAATGGCAATTCCTTTTCTGAAGGAGCAAAGGAATAAATACATTTGAAAATATTAAACACGTGGTTAAATACATAAATTATTAAAGCCACACTCCAAAAGACAAAAATGGCAAGAATAAGCCACTGTAAAGCTAGGAGAAAAGATTTGAATGTAATTCCCCAAAGCAAAGGTTGTCATTGATATTAGAATGCAACGCACATTAAATATGGATCAGTGAAACCGAGCTGTGAGAATTGCACAATGGATTGCTATGATCTGTAACTGTAACATATATGCACAGATTACCCATTATCCAGCCAGAGAGATAAAGAGATAGAAAAAAAATCAAATAGTATTAAGAGAAATGGAAGCTAGAGAAGAAAAGCCAACATGTAATTGGAATTGGAGATTAGGGAGTGTGAATGAGAATATATATTGAAAGACATGAAGACAATGGTCCCAGGAGAGAATAAAAAACTAAATGGTGCTCAGGCATCCTTATTGAGCTACAACACACACAAAACACACACAACACATACACACAACACACACATACACACAACACACACATACAATACACAACACACACATAACACACACAACATGCACACACATTCAACACATATAATACATACACACATCACATAAACACAACACAACACACAACACACACAGCACACAACACACACACACACACACACACACACACACACACACACACACACACGGTATTTAAAAAATTTAAGCAGCCAACAGGGAAAAGGAGAGAGAAGGCAGAAGCAGAAGGCAGGCAGCAGAGGGGAAGCGGTGAGGGGAAGCAAAGATAAATTACACATTAAACAATTACAAAAAGCTCCTCTACCTCAGCAAAACACCGCAAGACAATGGAACATTTCCACGCACTGAGGGGGAAATGACTTTCAGCTAGAGTCTGTCCAGACTGAACCAAGGTAGAGATGGTGTTGTAGGAGCAGGCAGGGGTCAAATCTCACTGGTGCTCTCTGTGAGTCAGGGCAAACACCAGGGCAAGAAGGGATAGGCTACGAAAAGAACCATCAGCACGGTGGATTCACCTAACGTTTTATGTGACGTGAGAGACTTCAGAAGTGCAGATCCAAATGCCCTGGGACAACAGACAGCTGTGTAGAAATGCGACTGACAGAAAGATGTGAGCTAATGGTTCAGGACAGAGGGACGCAGCAAGGCTGTGGGTCCAGATTCCCTCTCTCTGCAGGGTGTCCACTCTCCCCAGAGAACAGTTGTGGGATGAGAATTTCAGGATTCACTATCAGACAAGGCAGGGAGACGATTGGTTTTTTGTTGATGGGTTTTTTGCTTGTTTGTTTTGTTTCTAGCTAGCCACTACACAGAAAGGCAGGAGAAGGACAGTAATGCTTCTTGGTTTCACAGCTGGTTTTGCGTTCTAGTGTCTACTTGGGAAGTCTTGAGTTTCTATTCCTGTTTTAGAAAAGAAGGGAATCAGGAGAAAGTCAGAAAGAGGCTGTGTCTGAGGCCCCTGCAGGGTCCTTCAGTTCAGAGCACTTGGGATGCAAAGCGGCATCCTTTGGGAGCATCTTTTTCTGCCCCACAATAAAGTAAAAATAGATCCAGACCAAGATCACTATTCACAAACCTACAACCAAAGGGCTGCACAGTTCGAAGAGATTTCAGCCCAAATAAGAATCAGATGCAGGTTGGAGATTTAGCTAAATGGTAGAGTGCTTGCCTAGCAAGTGTAAGGCCCTGGGTTTGATCCTCAGCTCCAAAAAAAAAAAAAAAAAAAAAAAAAAAGAATCAGATGCAGGATGAATTGAAGTCTGAATGAATAACAATATGCAAATAAACAGGAAAGCAGCTGTGCCAGGTGGGGGGTGGTGAGGGGTGGTGAATGATTGGGCAGTTAAAAGCACTTGCTCCACTTACAAAGGACCCGAGTTTAGTTCCCAGCACCCACATCTCCCAGCTCACAGTCACTTGCAACTCCAGTTCTAGAAAATTCAATGCTCTCTCCTGGCCTCTATGGGTACCTGCATGCATGTGGTGCATATACATATATTCCAGCATACACATATATACTCACAAAATAAAGAAATCTTAAAAAAACAAAGGTGGTGGTGGTGGCGGCGGCGGCGGCGGCGGCGGCGGCGGCGGCGCACGCCTTTAATCCCAGCACTCGGGAGGCAGAGGCAGGCGGATCTCTGTGAGTTCGAGGCCAGCCTGGGCTACCAAGTGAGTCCCAGGAAAGGCGCAAAGCTACACAGAGAAACCCTGTCTCGAAAAACAAAAAAAAAAAAAAAAAAAAAAACAAACAAACAAAGGTGGGTAGAGTTGGTAGCATTTCTGCTGGAGGAAATACTGGGAATACATACACTTCATCCTCTGGGAGACTATGTTGGCTGCAAGAGCATGACAGCCTGGTCAGAGCAGAGGGCTCCTTTGCTAATAGACCCTGTGTCCCTATACCACTGTGGACCTCCCATAGGACCTTCTACTCACTGACATGGTGCATTGGGTGTCATTTCTTGAATTTTTCCTCTTTTAGAATTGAAATTCCTCATGGCAAGGACTTTTTTCTCCTGTGTCCCCAGCCTGGCACATAACCGCTCTTGTAATAAAGAGCACATGAAAGAGAGCCAGGTTTCAAATGCATGGAGGAGTTCCTGCTCGTCTTCCAGGGGAGCCAGTGCTACAGAAAGTGAGAGGGTCTACATTCGAGGCACATGCCGTATCGTCTTACACTGAGTGTGGAGTAATGAAAAGCATATGTTTGTGAACAAATACATTGGACTCGGAGTATGACTTAAAAACACAAGTTAAAACTTTTTCTCCCGATTCATTGTTTCTCAACTTTGCTGCCTCATTCTGAGGGAAAGGTAGGCTTTGATCATCTGTCTAATACAATATCACGTATCTAACCCCCAGGCAGAAGAGATAAGAGCCTGTGCTTTTAGATAAAACTGTCTACAATCTTGACACAGCCCCACTCAACACCCCATAATGATCTAGTTATTCCAGTTCCCTGACACCTTTCCACAGGACCCCAGGCCACAAGAACCCTGAAATTCTGGTTCTAACCACAAACTGCTTAGTATCAGAGGCCCCACCTTGAGCTTACAGCAAGCCCCACTCCTGACAGACACGCCTCTCATCTCCCATGGTCTCAGCTGTGCTGTGAGAACAACACTCTTTAGTCCCCTGGTGTGGTATGGTCTGCAATAAAGACACGAAACCCAGAGAGACTGCCACAATAGGACCATCAACACCCCACACCACCCCAGCCAACAGTCCTGGCGGGTCAGATGAACACTGGCCAAGACTTTTTTTTTTTAGTGGACTAAGTTGGACACTGTGTGCCCACTCAAAGTCCTGATGGCCTGAATGTGACCCTCTGATCACAGGGCCAAGGGCAAAGAACAAGAGGCATTTCCAGTCCTCATCGGCAGCTAATATGAACACGGATGAGCCCTTTAGAGAGCAGGTTAGTGCGCAGCTAACGGTGGGCCGAGTCAGAGGTTGTGCATCTTTAGATGACCGACGACCCGTCCCAAGCCCTCCTTCTGCAGAAGCACATGCAGCGTGGCCTGGGACACCTTTTCCCATAGTCACAGTCCTTTCCTCTCTCTGCGGTCTCTGGCTCCTGCACTGTTACCTCTCCCCTTCTTTCCTGGGAGCTTGCAAACACATCCCAAACCTTCTCTCTCTCTGCTAAGTCCTTTCTCCATCGCCGTCCTTGAGATAGCTCAGAGCAGATTCGACCCCTGAATTTACGGCAAGAAGTTCCTACCAGCAATGTCTGCTTCTAAATCTCCTGAGTGGCACCCCGAAGAGCCCCAACTTCAGCTCATCTAACAGCCCCTCCTTAGTCCTGTCGATGTGGTCTAGGAGTGATCTTTTCTCCAGGTAGTAAGCTCTGTGGAGGATGCTCTGGTCCGCCTCGTGAACCCGACTGTGTGTGTTCCCAAGAGCTGGGAGACAGGGAAGGGAGAGAGGGCTCCCTCTTGGAAGAGGTTTTCATTGCATGAGGTGTTCTTGCAGAGGCTTGCATTTCTAGGCTTGTGGACCTAAGGGGGATTGTCAGGGATCTGATTTCAGCTCGCCTGGGGGATGAAATGATGTGCTCCAAACTCCGTTCTCTCTGTTTCCCCCTCCTTCTCCCTCTGTTTTCTCTCCCTCTCTCTGTGTTCTCTCTGTCTCTCCCCCCACCCCCTGGTTGACTCAGCTCGCTGAGCCAGAGTCTGCTTCCTTCTTACACTGGGTTTATTTGTCTAAGAGGTCCTGACCCACTCCAGACACCTCTTCCTATTTGTCAAGCCAACCCCCCCAGCCTCGAGATAGCTAATGGCATCTTCCACTCTGTTCAGGGAAGGGAAGTGGGGGGGGGGAGGCAAATCTTCTTCCATGTTCTCAAGAGAGCAAGAACTCAGTCAGGCCTTACGCCGCCGCCTCAGCACTGGGAAAAGCAGAAGGCACGGGCTTCAGTTCTGCGCGGCTCTGCTCTCATTCTGACAAGATAAAAAACTCCAAATAATTTATGAAGCACACGGGTAACTTGTAACCACCTGGGTAAGAGACAGATGTGTGCATCGGATGGTTAAGGCGGACTTGTGGGGGGAAGTGGAGTTGGAAGCTTGACCCTGTGGGATGTGGAATTCAACAGCACTGTCTGGGAGCTGTGGCTCTCAGATCTGCAGCAAAAACACAACGTAAAACCATAGGTCAGATTCCTCCAGGACCACGAACATGTCCCTGGGCCATGTAGTATACTTATAGGCACATTGCAGCTCCCTTCAGAAGACCCACAGGTGGGAATGGAGTCTCCAGGGACATTTACTACGCTGTTAAATCACCTGTTAAATAGAGAGCAGGGGCCCTACCTAGGCCCCTGCTCTGTCCCTGCATACCAGAGACAAGGCATGGGTGCGGCTGCGATAAGCCCTGGCTCACCCCTGCCTTCGGTGACAGTTCCCTTTTCAAAGTGAACTCTCAGGAAAGCCCTGCAGATGCCTGCCCTGTGTCTGCAGCCTAGGGCGAGGCTTGCAGACACTGAAAGGGAGCTGACATGTATGGGTACCTCTGGTGATAGCTGTGGTTATATTTAGTGCTGAGCTCAAGTTACACTTGTGGCCTCCCGCTCTGGGCACGGGTGAGCCCCAAGAGCAAACACAAGTGCAGGGCCAGTAAAAATAAAAAGAGCAAAGTGCAGGGCTCCGGAGAACAAACAGGCACAGGCACAGGCCCTAGCCCCAAGGTAGACGGTGCAGGTGGACCAGGTCACCGAAGTGGCGGGGACCGCAGAGGGGCCTTTTCCCATAGTTAAGAGCTCATAGCATTAAAATGAATCACCAGGAAGGTGCCTGCCTTAAACATCCCCCTCACCAGCTGCCCAGGCTTTAAGCAGAGATCTGTGCTTAAGAAACCTTGACGTTGCGGGGCGGTGGTGGCGCACGCCTTTAATCCCAGCACTCGGGAGGCAGAGGCAGGCAGATCTCTGTGAGTTCAAGGCCAGCCTGGTCTCCAAAGCGAGTTCCAGGAAAGGCACAAAGCTACACAGAGAAAGCCTGTGGGGGGGGGGGGAGAACCTTTGAAGTCACATCAACTCCTAGGCTCTAGGTCCCCCAGTAAACAGGAGGGAACTGAGCTGTACAATTACCTAAACCCCACTCCGAGTGAAAGGAATTTTCTAGCTCACTTTGCTGGAAGCTGCAAAGCGGCCCCGCTTCTTCCTCCCATTGTTGGCACAGTGACCTACCTGTTCTGACCGTGCCCTCCAGGAGATCAATTGAGCAAAGAACACATGGGCTTTTTTTTTTTTTTTTTCTCAGAACTGGGTTTGATCAACTTTAAAGTTTGACAGCCTACCTTTTGCTTTGTGTGGCAGGAACCCAATGCGCTGGAGGGTTAGCCAAAGGAGCAAATTGCTCTCTCCAGGTAGTGTTCTCCAGGGCCCCACCCCCTAGGTGAGAGGCTGTCCGAGTCACCCCACACCTCGAGCCCTATGAAGGGCTCAGCTGACCCCTCCAGGCAGGGCAGAGCCTGCACCCTGGGAGCAGCTGTCTGGCAGTGAGGTGTGAGGTCAGGAGGGTGTGTCCCCTAGTCCCCTGCGTCTTCCATGTTTAGAGGTGTGTGTGTGTGTGTGTGTGTGTGTTTTAATACATTTCCACCCTAGCTAGGACACCCCTGCTCTTCACTTCGGATGTCAATCTTGTGTGTGTAATCTGCAGAAATGTGAGTGGTTAGTCTGAGGACACACATGTTCACAAAGCATACATAGCATGTTCTTGTTTGCTTTTGTAGGCCTTCAATTGCTTCAAGGCAAGGAAGGACATGCTTGAGTTAAGGGCTGAGGACCCAGTCTGGTGCTATCGGAAGGTGGAGGAAGCTGCAGCTGGTGGGGCCCATGGGAGGTGTCCTTGAAGGGAACTGTGGGACTCCGCCCCTTCTTTTTCCTCTTTTGTTTCCTGGTCAGGAGATGGGTCAGTCTGTTTGTGGGGTGTTCCAATCAAGATGTGTTGCTAGGCCACAGGCCCAAGGCAACAGGATCAGCCCACCGGTTGAAACAGTGAGCCAGAGGAAATATTTTCTCCCTCTGAGATTATCTCTGTACGAAGCAGATTTATTACAACAACATAAAGCTGACTATCGAATCTTTAAATCATGGATTCCTTCAACTCTGATGAAATCCCGGGATATTTCCCCATCCAGGGGCTGATGTAACCACACTCAAAAATTTCCTACAGTTTGGGAAAGATCACCATCCCTTAACAAGAGAGGGTTTAGATTTCAAAAATAAAAAAGTGTGAGCCTTTTTTTTTTTTTTTTTTGGTTTGGTTTTTCGAGACACGGTTTCTCTTTGGCGCCTTTCCTGGAACTCACTCTCTATCCCAGGCTGGCCTCGAACTCACAGAGATCAACCTGCCTCTGCCTCCGGAGTGCTGGGATTACAGGCGTGCGCCACCACCGCCCGGCCCCCTTTTTTTTTTTTTTTTTTAAATGAGTTGGGTGTTAGTATTCTGATCCACCCCTTGGGGACCCACCCAGCGTCCTGACACCATCCTATGTCCCCATTGAGAAAAAAACACTCCTCCCTCTTCTCTCTCTCTCTCTCTCTCTCTCTCTCTCTCTCTCTCTCTCTCTCTCTCTCTCTCTCTCTCTCTCTCTCTCTCTCTCTCTCTCTCTCTCTCTCTCTCTCTCCCCTTTAATAATAAAACTTTCCACTTGAACGTTGCGTCTGCCATGTGAGTAACTTGCCGCCGCGCCGCGATACTGTCCGCTGCACCTGCGCTTGCGCCGTTTCACAACGTTAACACTGGGAAGAGATTGCATGCTTGTATTCATCACCCCTCTCAGTTCCCCAGGGGACCAATGCCTGCTCATCTTCAGCCCTCACAAGCCTGCGAGAGAGACAGCGCTGCCACCCTTCTACCAGAGGCTTCCCAGCCCTTCCACGGTGAACTTCCAGGGTTCTTCTACTCCAAAACGGATGCCCTTCCCACCGCAGCATAATGCCTATCAGTCTCAGAGTCTCGGGACGCCACGCTCATCCCACTTTTATTACGTGTTGATGGATGGAGCCCTACAAAGAACGGTAGGTACCCAGAGCCAAGGGAACCAAGTCGCTTCTAAGTCAGTTAGTTGCACATGTGAGTCAGACAACTCTGTAAATGACTCCCTAGGAATAAATACTGCAGCGATCGAATCTGTGGTTCTCAACAAGGTCCATTACACGTCGTTCTCCTTAGGTTCTTGAACCAGCAGAGCTGAGCCCACCAAAGCCGCCACCACTGGTCCCTTGTGACCATCAGAATTGGCTGTCTGGTCTGAGAGAAAAGCAACACAGGACAAGAGTCTTAAATGTCACACACACATGGACTCTGTCTTCCACCTGTCATTAGGGATATGAGATTTTGTGTTCATAAAACACATTTACATTCTGATTTATTTGGTTTTGAAAAGTCTTCATTTTGTTATTTGTGATTAAAGATTAATTAAGGAATGTATCCCAGGGGCATTACCAAATTAATGAATAATGCATTTACGATTCTCACCAATATGCCTGGTATATAGAAGATGCACAGTAAGTGTTACCTAAAAATGTTGTTCTGGCTAATTTTTATTGTCAATTTGACACAATCTAATGCAAGAGGGGACCTCACTTGAGGAATTGCCTTACACATATTGGCCTGGGGACATGTCTAGGTCTATGTCTGTGCCTATGCTTTGATTGTTGATTGAGTTAGAAGGGCCTGCCCACTGTGGGTGGTCCCATCCTTAGGCAGGTGGGCCTGAGCTATGTAAGAGAGCTAGGGAGTGAGCCAGTAGGCAGCATTCCTTCATAGTTTCTGCTGCCAGGCAGGAAGTTATTGCTTGAGTTCCTGCTCTGACTTTCCCTCAATGAGGGACTATGTCTTGGAAGTGTAAGCCAAATAACCCCTTTCCTCCCCAAGTTGCTTTTTGTCAAAGTGTTTTATCACTACAACAAAAGGGAAACTTTTCTTGTCTATCTACTTTAGTCTACAATGAGCAGACATGAGCAGCGTGATGACTCTGAGGTCATCTAGGAAGTTAAGCATGAGTTTACTACATGACTCAGAACTCCCACTCTTAGTCGTCAGACCAGAAGAAATAAAAAACGTACGTTCACATAAAGACATGTATGCAAAATTTCTTAGCATTGTTCATTACAGTGGAGAAGCAAAAGTAACTCAAATGTTCTCAACAGATGACTTAATACCCTATTGTGTCATGCAGTGGAATAGTTCTCAGCAGTGAAGAATATAAATGACTAATAGATGTGACAACACAAAAGAATCTCCAAGTAAAGGTGACAAGTGAAAGAAGCTAAGCAAATAAGGGGTATATATTACCAGCTGTTTAATATCAAACTCTAGAAAACTCAAACTGATCAAGAATTTCCCTCATCAACTGTTGTTTGGGAAAAGAGAAGGGGATCTTTGAAGATTGGTGAACAAATGTGTTCATTGCTGTGGCTTGAACACTCCCTCCAAAATGCATATTGAAATTTAATTACCATGGTGACGAATGTGAAGAGGTAGCACCTTGCCTTTTGCCCCATCACGTGAGGACACAGCAGTAACACATGATGTTAGAGGGAGAAGGAACCCCTCTTCACCCACAGACTGTCCCAGGGCCTTGATGACTCACCAGCACCTAGAAGTGCAGTAAACCAACCCCTTTTATTTATAAGTTGTCAGGTATGAGGCTCATTACAGCAGCACAGAGGAGCTGTGATGCTTGGAGAAGTCTCTATTTCTCGCTCTTACTGAAAGGACATTTTTTTCTGGTTGTAGGATTTTTGGGGTAATGGCTTTGTTCTTTATTACCTTCCTGGGATCAAGGTGTCTGATGAGAAACCTGGGGAATTGGGGAACTGGGATACGGCCCGCAGATGTTAACATCACGCCCCCCCCCCATGTGACCCAGTGAACCTGCCCTTTATCCCTCACCTGCTTGCTCTCTGAACATCAGCTATTGACCAGCAGTCAAGGGTGGAAAAGCAGCCCAGAGCCACTGTGCCAACTGTTACCTCTACAGTTCTCCCAGGGCACAGCATCAGGGGAAAACGCCCTCTCCACTGAGCAGCCTCCTCTTGGACTGTGACCATAGACTTTACATTTGGCAAGAGCCAGGGCTGGAAGACAGTGACCAGGACAATGATGACCTGTATGCTAAGAATGTGCAACTGCTTGCCAGTTCAAAAAACACACCTGGGATTCAGGAACAAATGGCTCCAATGGAAAGGACAGATGGCCGAGAC